GCCTGACAACACACCAAATGCGTCTGATGAGCAGGACTATCCCTCCGTAAAAGGTTTCTGCCGCCAGTTCATCTTTAACACACCTGGAATTTGCCAAACCGACTCCCAGTCTCATCCTCTTCAAATTTCTATACAGGGAAGCCCTCGGGTTTCGTTTAGCGACCATTCAAAGTGGTACAGGTAGTCCTTGACTTATAAGGGTTCACTTAGTGACTGTTCGAAGTTACAACAGCTGAAGTCCAACCTTCTGGCGAGCCAAGTCAATAGGGAAGCCAGATGAACAACCAGGTTCCTAATTTAAGAACTGAGGTGATTCTCTTAACAAATGTGGCGGCGAAGGTCGTAAAACGGGGGCAAAGATCACTTCAACAAATGTCTTGCTTAACGAAATGGGGCCCAGCCAATCTCATTGTACACATGTTGTGCATTGACAATGAAAGATTGAATTGAATTGAATTGAATTGACAGAAATTTTGGGCTCCGTTGTGGTCTTAAGTCGAGGACTACCTGCAAAAACATCGAAAAAGGTGATTTATGACTAGTTGTTTCTCTTGGAATTGCCGCGGGTTCATGTTTATGACAGTTGCAGTGTCCCATCGTTGGTAAAGTCAATTGCGGGGGGGGGGGGAGCCTGATTCACTTAACGACCAGGATTCACTTAACATCCACAGCGGTTCACTTCAAGTAGCAAAAATGTTAAAGGTACTTAAATTTAATAGGTGGAGTTCCCAGCAGGGTTGTAGGTGGAGCCAGAAGAGGCAGTTATAACTGATTGGTCAGAGAGGGCGGCTCCTGCGTGAGGCAATCGGCCCTGCTATTGGTTGCTGTGGGTGCGGAGGGGCGGTTCCCTTTTTCCCGCCTTTTTTTTTTCCCCTTTAGTAGGCTCTGCGATTTACCTCATGATGTTAGCAATGTGCCTGACTGTCTTTTTTGATTGTACAGATGGATGTAAATCTATATATTTATATAAAACTGCCAGTTTGGGTCAGCATCTCTCTGGCTCCATTTGGACAAAAATTTGGACAAAAAAGGGGCTGTGAATTAGATGGCTCGGTTGACTGTTTGGATCAAAGAAAAGGAAGAGAAGAGAAGAGAAGAGAAGAGAAGAGAAGAGAAGAGAAGAGAAGAGAAGGGAAGAGAAGAGAAGAGAAGAAAAGAAAAGAACAAAAAAGAAAAGAACAGAAAAGAAAAGAAAAAAAACAGAAAAGAACAGAAAAGAACAGAACAGAAAAGAAAAGAATACAAATACTTCTATTTCTACTCAGAAACTGTTTCTGGGCTTTTTGTGTTTGTGGTGGAAAAAAAGAAAACACGAAACTTTGATTTTGGGTTTTACCGATTTGATAGATTTGTTGTTATAGAAATGGCCAGTTTCAACAATTTATGTAAAAAGTAAACAGTTGAGCTTTGATATTTAAGGCCTTATTCTACTGCACCGAAGGGAGTCAGAGAAAGTCAATGCCTTTTTTCTTTCTTTCTTCCCTTTTTCTTTCCCTCACTTTTCTCTTCCCTTTTTCCTTCCCTATTATTTCCTTTTGCATTTTCTTTGCATGCTACACTATAAACTGATAAAAATCGTTTGGCAGAAAGGGGGGGTTTTCCTAAATTGGGCACCACTTGCTTAACAACCGCCTTGCTTAGCAGTGCAGATTTGGGGCTCAATTGTGGTCGTAGGTTGAGGACTACCTATCTGTGGATTTCGACTCTCCGAGAAGGGCCCACCCAGCCAGCATATTGCCTGGGGAATTCTGGGAGATGTAGTCCACACAACTGCGTTAAAATAAACCATTTGTCAGAAATGGTATAGGGTTTCCTACTTGAGCAGAGGGTTGGACTAGAAGACCTCCAAGGTCCCTCCCAATTATGTTATTCTACGCCCGTGATGGCGAACCTATGGCACGTGTGCCAGAAGTGGCATACAGAGCCATCTCTGAGGGCACGCAAGCGTCGCCCCAGCTCAGTTCCACTATGCATGTGCGCGCACCTCCCACCATCCAGTTAATTTTCAGGTATCTGCCGTGCATGCATGGGGGGCGCATGCGGGAGACACGTGCGCATGCGCACGGTGGCGGGGGAATGTGGGGGGAGCACAAATATGTGCAGGAACAGGGGGAAGCCTGCACATGCACAGGGAGACGGGGGAGCATGGGGGGTCGCATGTGCATTGCAGGGTGCAGACACGCATGCGCGCACTGTTGGCATGCGACGACAAAAAGGTTAGCCATGACGATTCTGTGCTATGCTATTGTATCCTTATTCTTATCTCCTGTTCTATTTCTATTCTATAGTTTCTAAAGTTGAGAAGCTAAGCCGCTAAGCCTTGGCTGAAAAATTGACAAGAGGAACCAGACGATGCCCCTGCTCAAGGAAGTCCATCCTTCCTGTATGTTTTTCAGTCTGTCGAGCCTTGTCATATCCACAGCCAGCTCCTACTCATCAAATGCAGCAGATACTGGCTCAGGGATGAAGGGAGTGGGTCATGAGTGGCGAACGCAATCTGAAATCGGACATAAAGAGGAAAAACGGAGGAAGGGGAAAGGGGAGGAGATGGGTTACACAAAGGGGGGAAAAAACAAAATGTTTATTCCAGGCCTGCGTTAGACCACCGCCTGCACCAACAAACTGCTCTACACAACATGGAACCCCCTACGACACTCAGGTGGGCTAGGTTTACTTCTTCTGGGGACTTCCTAGGCAACCACATTTTTTTTCTAGGCGTTTCCAAACTGGGCAACTTTTAAGATTGGCGGACTTCAACTCTCAGAATTCCTAAGCCAGCCGTGCTGGGCAGACCACAACGTGAACTAAGAGCGAGAAAAGCTTAGAAAAAAACACCGGATCAAAACGATGAAGAAAATGCAGGTGGCCCTCCACTTACAAACATTCCTTGAGGGACCATTCGAAGTTACAATGGCACTAGGAAAAAAGGGACCACTCCGCAGCATCCCCGTGTCCGAGTGCTCAAAATTTAGATGCTCGGCATCTGTAGGACGTTTGCAATGTCCTGGGGTCACGTGATCCCCCTTTTGTGACCAGCAAGGGGGCAACTAGACTCCCTTAACAATCGTGTCCCTAATTTAACGACTGCCGTGATTCACTTCACGCTGAACACAACTGAATCACGGCAGTTGTTAAGTTAGGGACGCGGTTGTTAAGGGAGTCTGGCTTTTCCCCGTTGACTTTGCTTGGTCAGAAGGTTGCCAAGGTGATCACGTGAGCAGTGGTGGGATTCAAAAAGTTTTACCACCGGTTTGGCGGGCACGTTTGCATGCGTGCACACACTTTGTGTCCGCATGCCAAACACGCACCTCCTGCCTAAGCCTGCACTCTCCCAGTCGCTTTAGCAGCTGCCGCGCGACACTCTTCTGTGCCGCGCAAAGCAGCTGCCCTTCAAAAGCAGGGAACAAAGGTCAGTATGGGAGCCCCGGCAGGCAGGCGGGCCCAACAGTGGAAGGGCGGAGAGACCTGGTTCGGTCTCCGCTGCTCATCGCCGCTACCGGCTCGGCAGAACCGGGACGAACCGGTAGAATACCACCGCTGCACGTGAGCCCAGGACACTGCGGCAAGAAAGGTCGTAAAATGGGGGCAAAACAAGCTCAGCAACGGAAAAACTGGGCTCAGTGGCTGTTGTTAAGTTGAGGACTACCTGCACGTACGGAATTGGATGCAGAGGGTCTCTCTAAACCCATGTTGTTATGCTCATTGTGGCTTTTCAACCCTTACAGACTGAAGAGGGTCTAGGTTGCACCTTATTGGACCGGCACTGAAACTACAGTGTAGGTTGGGACACCTGTTCAAGAGGAGGACGATCTGTAAAGGCAGGTTGACATCTTCCTAGAGGGGACAGCCCCCAGGTATTTTCTAATGCAACTGATCTGGCAGAATAGATGTGTCAGGGATCCTATTGTTTAGAAGCTAGACTTATGGGGGAGGTCCCAGGTGGTCTTCTCTGCCGTAATGGCCACTTAAGGAAATATTCTATACACACAAACACAAACACCAAGTGATATTAACTGCATCTCTATTGATTTTTCTAGAAGTCCCTCAAAATATGGCTCCATCGTCAGGCCTGGGAGCCTGGTGAGATCTTGATCCATTGTTTTCATTATCATTTGTCGCTTTCGCTCAGCTTTGTGATTTTAAAAAAAAATTAATAATGATTGTTTTTTATATGTCTGTTTAACAGATGTACATCACCCAGACTCTTAGCTACACAATTTGGGATGAACAGCCTTTGAATGGTGTGGGAGTAAGAAATGGATTTCCAGAGGAAAAAAAATTGCAAACTACAGGAACCAGGAGTGCCGCTCAGGTGACTCTGAGGACACAGATAAACCTCCAAGTGCTTCAAGGACCCACTAAAAGGATGCAAATGACCAGCTGTCTGCAAGGAGTATAAATCCTTCCCTTCCCCACCATCCAGCCAGAGCTGAAGAAGCTTCTGGGGTGAGAAGCGAAACGTCTTCAAAGAAAAACCAGAAAGTCCAGTTGCCTCTTCAAAAAAAGCCACCTTTGGGACAACCAGGATCTGAATAACAGAGAATCTCTAAAGACTTACACCACCCAGAGTCACTTTTTGTAAGATGGGCAGACATGAACACCACCGGCATTGACAAAAATCCTCACCAGTCAATTGCAAAAGGCAGCTCTACTCGGAACAGCTTACAACCTACGACAAAACCTTAAACACCTCCACATCTGCCTATCCCAAGTCCTTCAGAAAGACTCAATAGGCAGACAGAAATGTCAAATCTGAACATCTGGTTGACTGTGCAAGGAGCCACAACAATAATAACCGCAGCAGGCAGTTTTTCTCTGAACAGCTTCCATCTAGCCTTTAATACCATCCACATTTAACAATGTCATTTAACACATTTAACACAACGACATTTTCCTATCCCGGGTCCTTGGGAAGGACTCGAGAAGTGGATATAAAAACACCAAATCCAGTCTAAAACATCTGGCGACCAGCAGTAATGAGATAAAACATAGTTTCTCACCTGAATTTTTATGGGCCAGGTGAAGTTGCTGACGTAGACGAAGAAAGTGATGTTGGGATTGTTGCGGAAATCGAATTTCTCATTGGAGAAGCTGTCCTTATATTCCTTGACCTGGTTCTTTGAAACCACCGGAATCTCCTCTCCGGCCTGTGTCCCAGCTTTTGAGCAATTTAAATGAATAAATAAATAAAAATTAGAAAGGACACTGATGTCAGGATCTTTGGAGATATAGATTGAAACTGTCATTTAATCATGGTGAACCCACTGACAGCTGTTGACCCGGTCACATTTATTAAATTTCATCAATCGCTGAAGGTTGCTGGGAAGACGGCTGAGTGAACAATCAGAATTCTTATCTGGAGAGAAGCCAAATTATTTACGGGTAGTCTTATGACCACAATTGCGGCCAAAATTTACGTTGCTAAAGTGAGTAAGCGTGAAAAGAGGTAATAAATCATTTTTTTTTCAGTGCCTTGTGACTTCAAACGGTCACTAAACGAATAGACTAAATAGCCCAATTCCTTGTGTGCCGATCTCCAGCAATATTCCAGCCAGGAACGGTAAAAAAACCTTGACATTTTAAACATGTCCTCAATTGCTTGGTTGGTAGACAGTGTTTGCTTGGTTTTATGTCTTGGGAGAAAGCTGACAGCTTAAATTTTAGCAGGAACATTTCTGGACACGGTTAGAAAAAAAAACCCCAAGGAAACCTTCTCACTCCTCTAAGAAAGTGAACAGGTGACCAAGGGTTCAGGGTTAGATCAAACTGAACCTGCTTAAGTGCAGAAAATGTCCACGTTGAAGCAGGGTGAACTACTACGGCCCCTTTACATCCATGGACTTCCAATTCCGGGCTGCCTCAGGAATTCTGGGAGTTGAAATCCATAGGTCAGTGATGGTGAATCTTTTTGTTGTGGTGTGCCCAAAGCACGTGCGTGCCAACACCCACAATGCAATGCGCCCCGCTCCCCTGAACATGCACACGCAACACCCCCGCCCTGCCCCCTTACGCATACTGCGCATATGCGTGCCTCCCAGCTGATTTTTAGTCTGTTTGAGGCCGTTTTCCCCCTCCTGGAGGCTCAAGGGAAGCCTCTGCAGCCTTGGGAGGCTGAAAAATGGGCCCATTTCGGCACTTCCGGTATTTCCAGAAGGCCTGTTTTTCAGCCTCCCAAGGCTGCAGAGGCTTCCCTTGAGCCTCCGGCAGGGGGAAAACGGCCTCAAGCGGGCCAAAAATCAGCTGGGAGGCGTGCGCATGAGCAGTGCAGGTACGTTTGGCTGGGGCTCATGGTGCCCGCATAAATGGCTCTGCGTGCCACCTGTGGCATGCATGCCATAGGTTCGCCATCATGGCCATAGGTCGTAAAGGGATCACAGTCACCCATCCTTGCTTTAAAAGGTGCCGATCTTTCCACTCTACGGTGCTTAATATGGATCATCAAACTGCCAAGAAGAGCTGACTCCACTTTCCTCGCTACCGTCAGTAAACGGTTGCATAGATGATATTGGTGGGAAATATGAACATTTATGCCCACCGAGCCGAAGTAGAAATCAGATTTTAAAAATGGATACTCTTATTTATTTCTCAGGCCACCTTGATGTACAAACAGTCAAACCACATCTCAATCAATGTACAGGCTTAGTGACTATAAAGGCATTGAAAAAAAATGGACATTTGACCAGCCATTGCAACATCCTCATGGTCATGTGATCAAAATTCAGGTGCTTGGCAACTGGCATGTACTTATGACAGTTGCGGTGTCTCCCAGGGGTCATGTGATCACCATTTGCGACCTTGCCCACCAGCTTCTAACAAGTCAGTGGGGGAAGGCAGATCCGCTTAACGACCGTATGATTCATTATGATTATAGTGATTTAACAAATGCCTTTATTTATTTATCTATTTTCTTTCTTTCTCTCTTTCCTTTCTTTCTTATTCATTCATTCATTCATTCATTTATTCATTCTTATTTCTTAACCACCTATCTCCTTCACAGAGAGCTTTGTCAACAACAGAAATTCTGGGCTCAGTTGTGGTCGTAAGTGGAGAACCGACTGTATGCTATTGTCCAGCGGAGAATCCTATTAAACCCACAAGTCAACGAGAGATAAAAAGAGTGGCTTTTGCATATAAAGAAGCTGTATGTTCTCCAGGCTGTCCTCGACTTACGACCACAGTTGAGCCCAAGATTTCTGTGGCTAAGTGAGACATTTCTTAAGTGAACTTTGGCCCGTTCTACGACCTTGGTTGCCACCATGGTTAAGTAAATCCCCACAGTTGTGAAGCTAGTCAATCGGTCGTTAAGTGAATCTGGCTCCCGCCTTGACTTTGCTTGTCAGAAGGTCGCAAAAGCAGAGCATGTGATCCTGAGATATTGCAACCCATTTTCATGCCCCTGTTGGAGTCTGACTCCAAGGGAGAGATGGAACAGCTGACAGGGAGTGGAAGTTGTGGAGGAAACTAGGGAAGGGCACAGGCCGGGTGGGCATTCAGAGGAAGACCCAGGCCCGTCCCCTCTTCTTCCATGCAGGGAGGAGAAGATAAGGGAGAAACATGAGTGGCATGGTCTATGGGGGAGGAAGGGGCCCTGATCCCCTTCATGAGCTGCAGCTGGGAGGACTGGTAAAAAAGACAAACTGCGCAGGGCAAAGTTGCTGGAAGCAAAGCGTTCACTCTTGTTGGAGCTTATCTGTGTTTTGGCTTCCTCTCAACTGTGGTTGCTGCGTTATCTGGTAGAAGTCTGCAATTAATCACCCTTGCCTGCCGTAGTAATTCCTTCAGTGTGGTATGTTGGGTTTTTTTATTTCAAATTAACTTTACTTTGGGTGCGGACTGCATTTACTCCCTCTGTAAACTGTTTTCTTTAAGACTTTGATATCCAGCCGAGGAAAATTGGGCATCGGGGCCAAGTTTCTTTTATTTTGGGGTCTTGGTTATTTTTGTGTCACACCCCGGGTCATCACACCCATCACAGATATGAATCAGTTGCAAAGAATCTGAAGGTTTGATCGTGTGACCATGGAGATGGTCTTAAGTGTGAAAAACAGACCTGTCACTTGTTGAAGTGCCGTTGTAACTTTGAAAGGTCACTAAACGGACCATCATTAAGTTGAGGTCTTACCTGCACTGGGGAACATTTCTCACCTGCAAAGCTTGTCGACCAAGTGATGTTGAGGTTGAAGTTTTTCGAAGCATTGATAAACATGTCCAGGTCTCTGTTTTGCTGGTTTTGAGAAAAGAAAAGAGACAAAAGAGGAGTTAATGGCTTTAAGCATCAGGCAACCTCTATACTCGTGATGGCGAACCTCCAGAGCCATTTGTGCAGGCACGCGAGCCCCAGCCAAACTTACCTGCATTGTGCATGCGCATGCCTCCCAGCTGATTTTTGGCCCGTTTGAGACCTCCCGGAGGCTCAAGGGAAGCCTCTGCAGCCTTTGGAGGCCGAAAAAACGGGCCCATTTCTTCACTTCTGGAAATACCAGAAGTGCCGAAACGGGCCGGTTTTTCGGCCTCCAAAGGCTGCAGAAGCTTCCCTTTGGGCCTCTGGGAAGCCGAAAACATCCTCCCCCATGCTCCCAGAGGCCCTCTGGGTGCTGAAAATGGGCACTTCCGGTATTTCCAGAAGGTCCGTTTTTCGGCCTCCCAAGGCTGCAGAGGCTTGCCTCGAGCCTCCGGGAGGGTGAAACGGTCTCAAAACGGGCCGAAAATCAGCTGGGAGGCGCACGCATTCACAGTGCAGGTAAGGAGGTGGGGGTGTTGCACGTACATGTGTGTGGGGGGTGCATTGCATTGTGGATGCTGGCACACACGTGCGTGCGCGGGGCTTCGGCACACCACAACAAAAAGGTTCGCCATCCCTGCTCTCTACAAAACAGTTGGCATCATTTTGGTAAAAATAATGTGGGCCCCCGTTTCAGATCTGCCTCCTCTGTGTTAAAAACAACACGCTAATAGGGTTAATATTACCTACTTTTTCATTTTTCAAGGAACTTGGTCTGCAGTCAGCTCCCTAGGCAAAGCAGGAATGAAGACCCAAAACGGGAAAGCAGACAGACCGACAGACGTGCGTCAAACCAAGCAGTCGGAAAAGCATGAAATACTCCGTCAAGGTATTTTATTTCAGAATCTAGATTCAGCAACGTGAAAGGAGTTCGGATCCAGAATTTGAAATATTTAGATAGTCCTTGGCTCACGGCCCCAATTGAGCTCAAAATTTATGTTGCTAAGCGAGACATCTGTTCAGTGGGTTTTGCTCCCATTTGACCACCTGGATTACTCTTATGAATTGACACACGTCAGTTGCCCCTCTTTAGATACTCCACCAGGTCTTATGCATGGATTAGGGCACCTGAGGCCTTTCTCCCCATTTGCAGATCTTAGACCGTAGAGCTGAAGGCTAGGAATCCACAGGATGGAACCTATGGCCGTGGCTCTGCGGCCGCCGAGCGTGGCAAAACTGAACGCAGATTTACAAAATTGGCCACAGTAACTATTCCCTTTCAATCTTCTCTTTGATTTAAAATGAGCTTCCACAATTCATTGTCTAATGTTTCTACACAATACACTTACACAGGGGTGGGATTCAAAAATCCCAGCAACCGGTTCACTGCCCGGTTGCTGGGTGGGCAGGCCATGGTGGGCGGGGCCTACCAGAACTTCCGGGAGGCCCGTTTTTCACCTTCCCCAAAGTCTGCAGGCTTCCCTCGGACCTCGGGGGGGGGTGAAAATGGCCTCCCGCGGAGTCCGGAGACCCTCCGGAAGCTGGAAACTGGCCCGTTTCTGGACTTCTGAAACTTCAAGTGGAAGGGCTACCCCTTATCAGAGTCATCATGGGTAAAGAGTAGGAATGTCCAAGTCGATCGCCTTGTAGCAAGGTTTCATGCAGAAAATCCAACCAAGCCTGAGGTTTCGTGAGCATAAGTTTCCATATTTGCAATCGATTTGTTTTGTGTTGTACAGGTCACCTTCAAAAAGTGAGGGGAGCCGAATGTCAACTCATAAAACATTTTGTACACACGTTTTATAGTTGTCAACAGAAAGAAGGGGAGCCATTTTACCCCCTCCCAGAGCCTCCGCATGGACCCTGCCCTTACCTGCATCCAAAACAGGCCACGTGGAGACGCCTGGGAGGGGAGGGCATGACCAGCCAGTCGGTTCAACTATCGGTTCGGCGAACCAGATGTAAATTTAACACCCGGTTCACCCGAACCGGTCCAAACTGACTGAATCTTACCCCTGCACTGACTTTGTTGGCTCGCCACAACAAAGAGACCTTCCTTTAATAACCCTATGCTAGGTTGACGGATCTTACCAACCTCTTCCGGTGTTGCCACGAAATTGATTGCGGTGTAATAGCGATCATCTTCTTGGGAGAGGCTGAAGGTGAACTGATAGTCGATGAGAAGGGTATCTACATGGAAGCATAGCAAGGGAGAGTTAGGAGATACGGCCTCGGAACAGGAGTCCTTGCCTTACGACGGCAAACCGAGCCTCACATTTTTGTTGCTAAGTGAGCGTTGCCCCCATTTGATGATCTTTCTTGTCCCGGTTGCTAAGCGAATCCCTGTAGCTGTTAAAGTTACACGGTCGTTAAGGGAATCTTGCTTCCCTGTTGACTCCGCTTGTCGGAAGGTCACAAACAGGGGAATCGCGTGAGCCTGGGGACACGGCGACCGCCGTAAATATGAGTCAGTTGCCAAGCGCCTGGATTTTGATCGCGTGACCACAGAAGGATGCTTCAACCGTCACGTGAAAAATGGGCGTTCCATCACTTTTTTTTTTGGTGTGCCAGTGTAATATTGAACAATCACTAAATAAAATGGCTTTAAAACAAGGACTCCCTATATAAGCCAAGAGCAAGCAGAAGGCAAGTGGCTTACAAGTATTAATATTTCTTTGTTTCTTTGTTTCTTTATTTCTTTATTAAATTTCCATGCTGCCCATCTCCCCCACAACGTCACTCTGGGCAGCTTACAAATGATAGAAACAAGTCAACAACAATAACACAGATTAAAAGACTCAAATGAACCAACATTAAAATCTTATTAAAGGCTGCGATAAGACACTCTTAATTGTGTGTTGTTTTAATCTTTTAATAGCTCTTTTTAATGGTTTTATCACCCATTAGCCGTCCAGAGTCATGGGGTAGGAGAGATAAACGGTGGCATTAACATTTAATAAGCAAATAAATAAAATTAAATTAAATCAACTCGCTGATAAGGCCTGGTGGCGCAGTGGTTAGAGTGCAGTACTGCAGGCTAATTCTGCCAACTGCCAGCAGTTCAAGTCTCACTGGCTCAAGGTTGACTCAGCTTTCCCTCCTTCCGAGGTGGGTAAAATGAGGGCCCAGATTGTTGGGGGTCAAGAGGCTGACTCTGTAAACCGCTTAGAGAGGGCTGGGAAGCACTGTGAAGTGGTATATAAGTCTAAGTGCTCTTCCTTCCTTCCTTCCTTCCTTCCTTCCTTCCTTCCTTCCTTCTGTGTTTAAAGCCCATCTTCTAAAAAGATGTCTTTTATTTAGGAAAGCATCAAATTGGCAAAGTCCATGGTAATTCCGGATCTGACACAACCCGGAATTACCCCACCACACTAAAAGTTAGAAACAACCCCCAAAAGTCACATTCTCCAATAGAAATAATTCAACGTTGCTTGATGTCATAAATCTCCACTTCATGGGGTCCCAGCATGGACAGCTCGTTTCCCACGAGAAGAAGAATCGCCTAGCCTAAACAACTCTCTCTTTATCTCCACTTAGGAATGTGGCAAGCCCGAAATCCTTTCCCCCATGACCGCCAAAGAGAAAGTAAGAAAAAGAATATATACTAAGCCTAATTAAAATGGCTACACATGTCAATTTCGGGCTTGACACCTTCCTTCCTTCCATTTCTCACTCTCCTTTCTGGTGGCTCAGTGCTTAGAATGCAGTATTGCAGGCTGATTCTGCTGACTGCCGGCAGTTCGATCCTGACCGGATCAAGGTCAACTCAGCCTTCCGTCCTTCCGAGGTCAGTTAAATGAGGACCCAGATTGTTGGGGGCCAGAGACTGACTCTGTAAACTGCTTAGAGAGGACTGTGAAGCACTATAAAGCGGTATATAAGTCTAAGTGCTATTGCTATTGTTCTTCCTTTTCTCCTTCTCTCCTTCCTCGCTCCTTCCCATCCATCCATCCATCCATCCATCCATCCATCCATCCATTCTCTATGCTGATGATGTTTCTCTTCAATGATAATCTAAAACTATGCAACACCACAGACAATGCTGCTACCCTTCAAAAAGACCTTGACTATGTATCAGAATGGTCAAACAAATGGCAACTTCAAATCTC